AAAAAAAAAAAAAAGAGTTGCTATTACTATGTATCCCCATCAGCATCCACTTAATACTGCAAGTGACATCATTGTGGAACTCCAGGGAACTTTCTATGAAGATGTTTGGAAAAAAACATTCGTGGGAGGTCCCTCTCCACTTTATTTCCAGAAGTTCTGAAATAGACACAAAATTAATTTTTAGCGTAGGGAAGTCACAGGTTCTATACCATGGGTGACAGAATTCATTTGGAATAGTGAGAAGGAGATGCTATGTAATGTTTCTGTGACAAAAATCAAATATTTCATTTATTTTGCCTCTGAAAAAAAAATCACTCATTTATTTGTTGACTTCAAAAACACACCTAAAATGTAAGTTTTTAGAGAGAATATTTTCCAGCAGGTAGCAGGAAAACAGCATAGGCCAGTTCAAGCCAGCCTTCAAGCACAGTGATTTTTTTTGAGCTGAGTAACTTTCCATATACTCATGTTTATTGTACAGGTTTAGTTGTTGAGGTACTACGGTATGAACATGTGCGCTTTTCCAAATTCAAATAGTAAAATTATAAAATATGATCGAGCCATATGTTTTCTCTCTTTCCTTCAAAAGAATTACGTACATAAAATAAATTGGGGCATGGATTCATAGGGGCCTGTATACATTTTATTCAAAAATATTTTTAAGTAACCAGGTGACACCTGAAACAAGGCCTCTGTAACACCCCCAAGAGATCCAAGTTGCCTTCATATTCTACTTCACCAGCCCCAAGGCTGGAAACCTTGGGCATTCCGGCTGGTTCCAGTATGATTTCAGAGCTGGTAGACCCAACTAGATAAATTTCTCCATCTGCTGGTGAGATTGCTGGTCTAGTTATCATGGGACCGTACGATACATGGTACACATGAAGTGGAGAATAGAAACAGTGATCCAAATAATTCAACCGAAAACTAGTGGAAACCTTGCCTGCTCCATCACCCAGTCTTAATTGATCAGTTCAGTAAGTAAAGCATGTCAAAAAGTTGAGTCTGATCCCAATTCAGAATTATCAAAGCCCCTTTGGGGGCACCCATGTGGCTCAGTCGGTTAAGTGTCTGCCTTCGGCTCAGGTCATGATCCCAGGGTCCTGGGATCGAGCCTCATGTCTGGCTCCCTGCTCAGTGAGAAGTCTGCTTCTCCCTCTGTCCTTCCTCCTGCTCATTCTCTCTCTCTCTCAAATAAATAAATAAAATCTTAAAAAAAAAAAGAATTATTAACGCCCCTCCTATACAAACACATGTATATGCCATCATGATCATCATCATCATCATCATCATCAACATCTTCATTATTGCTGTCTGTTGCATGCCAGGAACTGCCCCAGGTCTTGCCATATATTACACCAATTAGGTCTCCAAGCCACATTGTGCATTACGTATCCCCATTACAACCAAGAAGAAACTGACATCCAGAGGAAGCTTTCTGTATTTGACAGTCCTGAATAAGATGGAGACACTGTTGTCCTTTTCATGCAATTCATTTGGTATTATTTTTCCGCTTGTTTTATAAACACATAAGCAGTGCCATCCACATATCCTCATAGCATGGCCAGGTAGGGAAATGTCTTATTCTATAATCCACTGCCCTGAGTTTACATTGCACCTCTGATACCCAACTACTGACTGACTGACTTTGGACGTGTAGCTGCTAACCTCTCTGAGTTTCATATCTCCCATTTAAAGATGAGAAAATTTACACCTACTGAATAATAAACATACAGTGCCTCACATGGGATAGGTATTAGTAAAACAGCTTTGTTGTTATTTGACTTTCTTGTGACTGACGATCCACAGTTATCTCTGAAAAGAAAGCGGAACGGTCATCGACAAGCTTAAGAACCCTTACCAAGACAGCTAATTTTTATTCACTTGCTTAAAAACAATAGACAGGCCTCCCGTGATAACTTCAAAGGAGCTTGTGGAAAAACAATCAACCCAGTGCCATCAGGATGTCTCCATTCAAAAGAGGCCAGGAGGTGCTGTTCTAACTCATCCTCTGTATTAGAGGACAATTCTGCTTCTCAGCGTCCCACTCTTTCCCTTGGGCCTGTTTATAAAACCCGAGGCCTGTCCATGCTGTTGCCCCAGGAATCTTCCCACTTCTGGCAAATGGGGATAGATAGCATCAAAATTCATCTCCCCAGAGGGAAGACGTCCAGTTGTAGGTCTTTTGCCTTTTAAAGTGAAAAAAAAAAATACATATTTTTACTATTTGCAAATCTGTTTTTGCCAATTTGCACTTGGAAAAGCATAAATACATAAATAGGGAATTTCCTTTTCTCTGAATAATTAGGAGAAAAACGTAGCTTTCAGTCAGGGCACATCTGCTTCAGTTTTTCGGTTGTGTATTTAAAGGGAAAGGTTGTCAAAAGGAACCAATCTTTTCGTGCTGTCCTTATTCACTGTGATATATATAAACTTTACACAAGATCCTCTATAAAACGCATTATCATTTCCATATGGTAACAACAACAATTTTATTAGTATTGCATTCATAATCATTTTATTTGTAAATAAATGTATTTGTATTTTTAACTCGGACTTGTACTCACAAAGCGTTTGATATGATTAATCCCTTCTGTTAAAGATGAGGAAACTCAGAGATGACAAATGTCTTGCCTTGTCAGATGGTAAATGCCCAGCGACACACAGTGCTGTTACAGCACGGACTTTTGGGGTCCAGTGTCCATCTTCCTTCCCACTGCGTAACATTTCCTTATCAGTGAATGTCTAGCATGCTCACGTTTCTGTTTCTTTAATTCAGAAAGCATGAGGAGTGCTAAATAAACTCTGGTTGATTTGTTGGGTTAGTTGCACGTTATTAGATCTTGCAAGCAGGATTTATTTTGATCGCTGGATTCACTAGGACATTTGAGGAATGGAATGTTGGGTTGAGTGTGGGTTAAGGAGACCAGAATAGATCCTGGTTCTTCAGAGCTGGATGGGGCTTTGAGGATTGAGAGGTCCAGTGCGTTTAACCTTTGGTGATTTTTCATGGCCATAGGACTTCTTTGCAGGTAAGCAGGCTGAACACAAACAAGGGGGTAAAATGTGTTAGTGTCACTGGGTTTGCCGGCTTACATTTCTGCCATGCACCAAGAGAAGATTTTCTGCCCCTTCCACCTGGGCCCCAGAAGAATTATATATGGAGCAGAACAGAGCTAAGGCCATAACGAGGCAGGAAGCCAAGCCCAACTGGATCCACTGCTTGAGGCAGAGTGACCCAGCTGACCCCAAACCGACCCTTAGCAGAACTGTAGTGACAAAAGAAATAAATGCTTTATTGCATCCTCCATGATTTTGTGGCCATTGTTCTGCAACGGTAGATGACTGACACAGCCTCTGATTATAGTGTTTGATATTAAAGTAGCAAAGCTATAAAATGTATAGCCATAGCTGAGTCCAATGATTATAAATCTAAGGATTTTTAAAAAAATGATTTCTAGAATATGTGCTTGTTACAGTTGTGTAGAAACGAAACCTCATTTAAAATAAGGCTTAGAAAATGAGACTCTACATGAAGAGGTGGACAGAGAGAGCTAAGAATCACTGTTCTCTATTATTATCATGTCGTTCATCCAAGCACTGAAAAAAAAATCTCTCATTCGTTCATTAATTTATTCAACAAACTGCCATTAAGCATAATATGCAGCAGGTAGTAGGTATTTCAGGATGAGCAGCCCAGGTGCCAAAGTGAGCTCTCAGCTTAAAAGAGAGACAGGTTCAAACAATGGGTGTACAATGTGATAAGAGGCCAGAACGGACTTGTGAATGGTGTAGATTTTGAAGAAGGCTTTTAAATAACAATAGCTAAAATGGACTGTGTACTTAGTGCAAATCCAGGGCTGATCTGTGTGCTTTATATCAATTGTCTCATTTAACTTTCAAAACCCTCTGCAATGAAATCGAAATCACTAATACTGTTTCCATTTCACAGACGAGAAAATGGAGTTCCATGGAGGTTAAATAATTTGTCCCGGGTCAGGTATCATGTAATGATAGTGTGCGTTATTTGAATTTATGCAGCGTGATTCCACATCCCCCGCTCCTCACCAGTATACCACAGCTAGAGATTAGGTAATACCTGAGCCAATTCTTTTTTTCTTTTTAAAGATTTTATTTATTTATTTAGAGAGAGAGGGTGCATGCAAAGAGGGAGACAGGGCAGAGGGAGAGGGAGAGACACTCCCAAACGGGCTCTGTGCTGAGTATGGAGCCTGACATGAGGCTCAATCTCAGGACCCTGAGATCATGACCTGAGCAGAAATCAAGAGTCCTCAGAGGCTTAACTGACTAATCCACCCAGGCACCCCTACCTGAGCCAATTCTTAAATGACAAATGTAGAGGGCTGCAGTAATTAGCAAGGTTGTTGGGGTATCCCCTTGTGGGTACAGCTGGCTGGCCAAACTCAACATCCACAGGGCTGTGGCTAACTCTGGCTTGATTTATGTTGATGTTGATATTTATAGGCATCCAGAGCTCTCTCTTCATGAGGATCACGTTAAATGGACTACCAATCAGTCTTTCCATCCTATTCACAGATAACTCTGACTCACACACTTTCTATCCCTCACTTTACTTTTATCCTAGAAACCTTCAATGTCCATGTGAATGACACAGTCAGTTTCCTGACTCATAGCTTTTAACTTCAACCCCAATAGCCTTCACCCGTATTCCATCAGTCCCATGGGATGAACTTAACTTTGATTTTTTTCACTATCAGGAACTGTGCCACCCATTAAACCTTAACTATCTCATTCTCTGACCACAAACTCTGGTCTTTATAGCTTTCTAGATCTCCCACTTCCATTAAATCTGCACACAATACCAGGTCCCTCAGAACCTTAATTTCTTAGTACATTCCCTCTGTCCCATCTATCTTTACTTGCTTTGATATGTGACCTGACTAATGAGGTGTATTTCCTCAGTTCCTTGGCCATTGCAGCACCTTGTCTCCCCACAACATGCACTCAACATGTACAGGTCAGTAGATCACTTAATGGACCCTTGTGTCCCACAACCAATTTGTGACTCTTAAACCCAACTAGATTTTGTACCATTCAAGTATCTCTATATGTGTACTGAATCATCTCTCACTTCTTGACAGTAGTTATTCCAAAGTTTTCTGTGTGTGTCATGGGCCACATTGTGTCCCCTCAAAATTCACAGGGTAAAAAGTCCTAACCTCCAGAACCTCAGAATATGACATAAGATTTAAAAAGATGTAATTAAGTCAAAATAAGATCATGAGTAACCAAGTATGACCAGTGTCCTTCTAAGAAGACACAATTTGGATATAGACCGACACAGAGGGAAGAATATTTGGAGGCACAATGAGGAGGTATTCATCTATAAGCCAAGGAGAGAGGCTTCAGGAGAAACCAACACTTCCAATACCTCTACCTCAAACTTGTAGCTTCCAGAACTGTAAGAAAATAAATTTCTGTTGTTTACAGCACCCAGTCTGTGGTACTTTGTTAGGCAAGCCCTAGAAAATGTATTCGATTAGCTTCTTTATATTTCCCTGTTCATCTTCCCTTTCTTGTAGCAAATGATCTCATCTTCTACTCCTTGGGGAAAATAGGGGATTTCAGGCTTGAACTCTTTAACTGCCTATTCTTATACCTACAAAACCCATTCCTCTTATTTTCCATACCAAAAAAAGAGGGACTTCTACCTCTGTCCAAAGCTGATCTTCCATTTTCCTTTTGGAGTCTATGTCTTCTGGATTTTTTTTTGGAAAACTCATTCCATAAATGATATTTTTCCTCTCCTTTCTTATCCTTTATCCTATTTTTTCTCTTTGCTGGGTCCTTTCTTTCTAACTTAGATATATGCTAATGTTATGGCTATACTTTAAAACATGATGTAAATAAAACCTTATTCCATCCCATGATACCCTAAAGAAATAATTATGCATTCTCTTCTGCTTCATAGTCAAACTTCTTAGAAAAGAAGTCATCATTTGCACTCTTCTTCAGTCCATGACCCACTAAATCCAGCCAGGCATCATGTCACTACACTGAAACTGCTCTGACCAAGTCACCCAAGGCTTTTGAATGCAAATACACAGCGTACTTTTCAATTTCATTTTTTTTTTTTTTTTGACTGCTCACTGGTTCTCAGACTGTCATCCACTTATTCTCCTAGAGTACCATGTCATGACACTTCTTTGTTTTCCCTCCCAACTTCCTGACTGTTCTTTCTCTTTCTACTTCTTAGATTCCTCATCTTTCTTCTCGATTTTAAAAAATCTGTTGATGCTCCTGTGGATGGATTCTGTCCTCCTCCCTGTCCTCCTCTTCCCCTCCTCTACCTCCTCCTTCTTCTTCCCTTTCTTCTTCTTCTTCTTCTTCTTCTTCTTCTTCATTAATGTCTACTTTATAGAATTTCAACTCTTTGGAGTCATTGTGCCAATGACTCTTTTTTTTTTCTTCTAGCATCTATTTTTTTTTTTTAAAGATTTTATTTATTTATTTGAGAGAGAGAGAGAGCATGAGAGGGAGAGGGTCAGAGGGAGAAGCAGACTCCCTGCCGAGCAGAGAGCCCGATGCGGGACTCGATCCTGGGACTCCAGGATCATGACCTGAGCTGAAGGCAGTTGCTTAACCAACTGAGCCACCCAGGCGCCCTCTTCTAGCATCTATAGTGTAGTAGTTAAGAATGCAGACTCAGGAGCCAAATTATTGGATTTACATTGTGGCTCAACTACTTCCTAGCCATGCAACCATGGCAAAGTCATTTAACTTCTCTATTTTACTTTTTAATCATTTTAAATGGATATAATTTGTTTGTTTCAAGAATTAAATGAAAATATGTAAAGCACTTAGAAATTTTGGGACAATAATAATCATCAAGTAAGTTTTAGCTATTATTAAATAACTGTCCAGGAACCCAATTCTATATTTAAAACCACTTACTCCCCCAGATGTCCAATAAGTACCTCAAAATCTTATCCAAAGCTGAACTCATCACATCTTTTTATCACAAAATCTTTCCCCTTGACTGCTTTGTCTGATAGATTTGTTTCACTCTTTTCTGATAAGAAGTGAGCCTGGTTGTTTGCTGAGACTTTCCTCTCATCTTTGTCTCCATCTTCCAATAGTTACCAAGTCCTATTATTTCTATTATTACAGTTCTGTCTGCCCTGCCTTCTACCTTGCATCTCACCACTATTGTAATGTGGGTCCACATCTTTGATGTGTGTGTCATGTATGTTGGAGGAGTGGAGGTCTGGATCATTACAACTAATCTCCCTTGACTGAGTCCATTCTTCTAATGAGCGATTTACTTGGCACTCAAGGTATGCTTTTAAAAAACAAACACATTCATATTACTCCTCTGCTTGAATCCCTTCAACAGCTCTTCATCACTGTCAATGTGATGTCCCTACTTTAGAAGGCCCCCCTTGATTTAAACACTGGTGTCTACCTTTCCAGCTTAAACTCCTATCAAGTCCCTACTGTGCTCCACAATTCAGTAAAATCTCACCTCTTGCCTTTGATCATTTGTGTTATTTTTTCAAATCCCTTTTTTCCAACCTACAATGAGACTGTAATTGAAGGCTCTTAAGTACAGACCTCAAACAAATAGCTCTAAACAGGCAAAGCAAAAATAAATTCAGACAAAAGGAAAGCCTAGATGTATGAAAACTATCATGAGAGGTTAAATAATCGAATTACATAAAGCTAAAATTCTTTCTGGCTTCTTGTAATCTTTTCCCCAATTTCCCCCACTTAACAGATAGGTTTTTTTGAAAACCCTCCCCCCCCATTTTACAGCTTGATTCACATTCATTGCTCTATTTAGCAATTCCTCTCCCAAAGCCATGCTTAAAATACTTTGAGTTTGGAGGTCCCAATAGGAATCCTGTTTTTTTAAAAAATTCACAAGCAGATTGATAAAAAAATAAAATTGGAGGTCCCAATAGGAATCCTGTTTTTTTAAAAAATTCACAAGCAGATTGATAAAAAAATAAAAAATGATATTATTCGCATAATCTTCATATTTTCCTCTGGGGGTGTG